CAAATCAGTGGTTAAGTTGTATTTACAACACTGTTCCAGAACAGTTCAACCCAAATATTCAAGTGTGTGCAACGCATTTTACGGAGGACTGTTTCCTGAACCTGGGAAAGTAGCCTGCAATGCTGTCTATAAACAAAGGCTGTTTCTATAAAGTGGGGCAATTCCAACTTAGCAAGGACAGTCTGGCGCTTCTGTGCTGACTCACAGCCTGTAAGTACATTTTCATATAGTGTTGGCAAATTAATTTTTCATAAGTTTGTAGGTACAGACATCTGTTGTGGCCGTTCTTGGCCGTTTTTATGAGGCTTTTTTAATAGTGTTCATATCGATATCGGAATTATATCGTATCGACCGAAATTAAGAACTATATCGTGATATACATTTTGGCCATATAGTCCAGCCCTAACGCATCGCGATATGCAACGCGTAAAAAGACAGTATAAGTCATTATAATCAGTAATTATGTCCCCACTGGATGCAACAAATGCCTCGTTTATAATGGGTTTTATTGGTGTTGTCTCATCGCGCCGGGACATGGCATCACAGTATGCTAAAGAGCATAACAATTCCGTCACACGCTTGAGGTATTCAGACAATCACAACGCACTGTTTCAGAAAGGCGGGGCATAGAGGAGAAACAATAATGTACAGTATGTGGAAAATAATGTGTTTTTTGAACCTTAAACCGCATAAACGCATTGCATTACACCAAATAATTTTCTTTTTAGCAACGTCATATGACCCCTTTAACACACAACACTTAAAAGAATCATGATGTTATTAGTCCTCATTCTTTCATGCCATGATTATTTTAAAGGCTTTGAAGTGTGAAATAAGGTATGTAAATTCATTGTGGTGCTTCATGTTAAAATGTTTTTTTTTTCCGAAGTTGTAATTAAAACAAAGATTATTGGAATACTTTTTACAATCAAATATAATATTTTTTTGTAATTATTTGTGAAATTTGTGAATTTTTTTTCTTCAGTGTATATGCATTTTATTATACGTCAACGCTGAATTTTACACAATATGCTGATCACTGCCTTAAACCTGTTACACAGAAAATGACTAATCCAGAATTTGAAATCTCTAAAACTATACTCAGACAAACCACTAGAGGGTGTCATTTAATATTACCCAACCGATGATCTCGGTTCTACACTTGCCAGAGGCTAATAACCTGCTATGCTGACTAGCATTAGACCTTTCTGGTAAATCCTGTAAATCTTCTATGAATTTTCTTCCCTCAGACTTATTTCACTATGTAAATATTTAAACATTTTCAGTAAGATGCAATTTAAGATTTTAAAAAATCTTTAATCATCTTGCTGATAAAAGTGTATTCTGCTGTATGGATTATCTGAGGTGACGGTACAATGCTTCACCACTTGTTAGTTCATGCATCTTTTCAGACCAGCAGGTGGCTTAAAGGGATCAAGGGTTAAAATGGGAACAACATTATCTATCTATCTATCTAGAAAATAAGTGCTAATCATATGCTAAACACTATTTAGTTTTATCTGTTGTAAAGCTTGAGTGTGACACATATAACATAATCATGTTAAAATCAAAATTGTTTCTCCCTGGCAGTCAGATTGGTCTTTTCATCTTTGTGGTGCTTTTTCTTGGCACCAGTTTTATGTTTTGTCAAGGTAAGTGAGCTATATAACGTTTCGCAGATAAAAGTGCTAATATGCGCATGCTTGTTATCATGTGATATGTCTTTTATTCTGCAGTAATGTTTTCACAGGCCAAAAACGTCTCGTTATTGTGAAAAGCCACTGTTAAACAATCACATAGCCTTCATTGTGTTCTCCTTCATAGCAACAGGTAATCTGATTTTGATATTTATATATATATATTTTTTAATTTTGCATATATTTGTCTGCTTTTCAATTTGAAATACTAATTATCACCCCACTGAAGGTTTGGTTGTAGCACTTACACTCACTCACCCAGTTCCCAAGAGCATCAGGGTAGCTTTTCACTCATTTGGGCTGTTCACATTTATCCAGGGACTCTGTACAGTCATTCTTACCCTGTCTGCACCTCAGTGTGTAAATATAAATTATGGTAATATGATTTTATGTGCAACAATTAGCTTATATGTCACTTTTTGTTTTTCTCAGGCAAAGACCACCACAGAATTATACATATTTTCTTTGGTAGTCTCTTGGGCCTGCATACTCTCAACAGGTAAAATGATATACTTGGTTTTTGGTCAGTTCCAATTCCAGCATAATAAGTGTAGAAAAAAATGACCATTGTTCTTGTGCCTCTATCCAGCTTTCCTTCTGGTTAGGAGGTCTTTGCCTGATCCACAGAATGTTTCCTCATTGGTTAAGAGATACGTGCCTCTGGGGTTGAAAATGAGCCACTGCTGCAGTATGGCCTTCTACTGACACTCAATACAGGTGCATTTATTATTTACATGGTTTCAGTGGTTTTTCAGACAGTTGTGAGGCACCTTTTCACTAATATCACCGTTTAAGGGAGAGGAAAGATTGCATAAATACAAATTGTATTTAGAATTTTTGTAAAATCTATATATAAACACATTGTGTTTGAAGTCTACATGGTTGGGTCATATTTGGAAAGAGGAAGAAAAAAAAACATGATTTCAAAAATATATTTTATTGCTATGTAGTAAAACCACTGCAAAATATAAGATGATGTATGCGATTCCATGTAATACAGCTGAATACTGTAACAAAAGTTCCTTAAAACATATAATGGAAAAGCAATACACTTTATTTAAAAGTGTCAATTCAGATGTTAAACCAGTCAGCAAGGCACAAACTTTGTTGAAATACACACAATAGGATCTCAACAATGTTAAACATTTTCTATGTATAGGCACATTAAAAACATAGGGATCTATTTGTGTAAATACACATAAGGACTTTAATATGTGTGCATTTATTTTAATGTTTTATTAACATTTTCACATTAGATGATTTGATCCCTGTGGAATGTAATGCTGTTTTGCTTCACTACAAAATGTTAAATCGGTGGTTATGAATCAGACGATGCTGTCCAGCTGTTCAGAAACAACTCCTGCAGTGTTTCATAAAGCATGCAATGCTGACTAACATGTGCTTCTTAGATTTTAAACAACACAGTATAAAAACAGACTTTACAAAAGGCATTCATGTTTAGATATAAAACTATTGTAAGGTGTTGTTGTGTAACTGCTCAACACATAATGAACCTTTGTTTTCTGAGGTATGGCAAAAATCTTTGACACTAATACATTGTCAACAATGTAGTTCTGGAATGGTTTCATCAATAAGGCCAACAATAGAAACTCAATTCAGTCTAAAGATGAAACAGTAAATTAACATTTGTTCTCTCCTAAAACCACTGGAAAAGGCAAGTTTTGAGTACATGTTTTATTAGTATTTCTTAACCTGAGGTTTGTGAGTATGCTCAATAAAGAAGGGGGAAAAAGAAACCAAATACATCTGTTTGTTTCCTCTGAAAAACAAAGAGTTGGTTCTTCATCTCAATTTTTACTTGGCAGTCTGATGAATAATTGCAGCTATGTAAAAAATGAGTAGAAAGTCAAATTACAGAGCATTCAAATATGTTTTATCTGATCACTGCTTGGTCACAAATGTGGAAAGAGTGCTCAATATGGAATTCAATTTTTCATACGTATTTTCTTAACTCCTTCTAAACCATCTGATCTTGTGAAATAAGTATTTCAGCATCATTATAAGATTAATTAGTTGAAAAAATTATTGTAAGCTACTAGAGTTCCTGAGATTTTAAGTGGTCAATTGTTTATAATGCAATGATTCTGTAGCACAGTCAAATAGCAAAATCCTTATCACAGCATTAAAATAACTCTCACACATATCACACCTCAATTGGTGTGAAAATTACACTTCAATTGATACTCTTCAATCATTCACAATACAGCATTCAATTTGAGATATAAGCCCTGGCAGGTGGCTTCACTGACAAATTTGTACTGGTCTTTAGGCCATTTATCCTAACAATGCATCATAGTCAATGTACCATATAAGAGTACCGGTCTTCGGCTGTACTTTGGTAATGGGATACTTGGATGATTCGCCCTTAATTCGGCTGAGTTGACTGACAAGTTCATGCTTGCTCTTGCCCATAATTAAAACACCAACCCTTCGAGCCCTATTGATAGCTGTGAATGTGAGACTCATCCTCTGGTGTGGTTTAATGGGGCTTTCTGTCAGAATTACCAACCGTTCCTCATCATTTTCCAATTTGGTGTCCTGGAATAATGAGGCAGTGTGGCCGTCCTGGCCTACGCCGAGCAGGATGTAGTGGAAACTGGAGCCATTGACATGTTTATTGATTTCCTTCTCATATAATGCTGGTCCACCATCCTCTTCCACACATAACCGTTGGGTGAGATGCACAGGCATGGGGTGGATGTTGAAGTAGGGTATGCGGATATGCAGAAGCAGGAGATCGTGAATGGACCGGAAGTTGGAGCCTGTTTCTGTATGTGGCACACAACGCTCGTCCACTTGCCATATGTGAGTGTTGCGCCACGGAAAGGTGTAGAGGTTCAGGGCCAGTGCACGAAGCAGTGCCACTGGGCTGGAGCCACCAGACAACGCCAGGTGAAACTGACCTTCTTCACGAATGGCCTCCTCAGCAGCCAGGAGTAGATCCGAAGCCAAGCGCTCCACCAGTTCCTGTGCCCAGGCAGATACCATTTCAGAACTACGGTACTTCCCTTGCATCACTTGGAAGTTGTCTTTGGCACCGGGGTTGATAACGTTGACCACGGCTTCATGGCTAAAAGCAACCTGATGGCCCTGCAGCTGAAAGTTTAGCAGGTTTCCATTGGCTTCGCCACCTGGATACACCCGTGGAAAGACCCGACTCAGGCCTTCAAGGAGGGGAGTCCAAAACGCCCAGGAAGCAAGGAGTCCTTCGGCACTAATAAAGCTATCCTTGCGTCCAAAGAAGACATGCGAGATCAGCTCGCAATAAGCCTCTCTGGGTGTGACCGGTGACTGGATGTAATAGTCACTAAGTGGTAACCCCAGGACATTCACATCTTTGTATTCGGTGACCTCCTTCCAGTCACCGCTGCTTACCAGTTCGGGCTTGAACAGGTTCTTGCTGATAAGAATCGCAGGGTACTGCAGGTTTCCGTGACCCAGATAAAATATGATCTGTTTGGATTTGCACTGAACATTGTTGGGATCCTGGATGCAAAATACATCATTTTTGAAAAGCACACGTGCATAAGAAACCCGTTCATCAAGTGCCTTGCCTGAGGTCATAAATATGGGGATACCCTCATATTGCGCATTGTCGACATGAATAACCACACCTGTAAAGACAATTATTGTCAACATAAGCGTGGTTAGACTGATTTTCCACAGTCACACTGCTATGAATCAATGACTATGTTAACATGCACTAAGGAAAACAGCTTTTCTGCTATAAGCATTTTTCTTGTGTGCATGTGAACATACTGGATTATGTAGCTACAAAGCTCTTCCACTCACCAGCAAATGTGGGGGTCAAGCTGAAGTAGTCCTTTGTTTTATTTAGCTCTTCCTGAACCTCTCCATTGTAAGCTTGGTACTGACCTACAACCGCATTACTGTTATCTACGTGTTGAAGGGAAGCCAAGAAATTAAGCTTGTTTTGTAGTATCTCCATGCTGTTGGACAGGTTTGCAGGAAGGTTCATCAACATAAGGGTCATGACCTCTGTGAGGTGATTTTGGAGCACGTCTCTGATGACGCCATATTGATCATAAAACTGAATCCGGCCTGTAAATGAATGATAGATAATAAGTGCTGAAGTAATCACTGAGAAGATAAATGGAGAAAGGAACTTTTTGACAACGTGAACTTGCATTTATAAGCAACTAAATAACCAGTACCTTTGGCATCCAGGGTTTCCTTCAATACAATTTCTATTCTTTCGATATGGTGCTTGTTCCAGATAGGGTCTAGAAGTTTCTTATTCTCTTTCCTAAATGGCAGTATTTTAGAGACAACCTTTGGGACAGAAAAAAAAACTTTTTAAAGCTCATGTAGATCCTGTTATTTTTGTGAAAGTACACTACCATTCAAAAGTTTGGGTTCAGAAATTATTTTTTTCTTTGAATGAAATCAATACTTAATACATAAAGGGATATGTTACAAAAGATTTCTATTTCAAGTAAATTATGTTCTTTTGCACTCTTCATTCATCAAAAATTCAGTGTTTCATAATATTAGTGGTTTTTACTGTATTTTGATCAAATAAATTGAGCTTTGGTGAGAGACTTTTTTCAAAAACAAAAATCTTGTCAATGCCAAACTTTTGAACAATAGTGTATGTTAATGAAATAACATTGTACCTGCTTCCCTAAATAGTGGTCAATCCTGTACATCTCCTTTTCTTTCAGCTGGTCTGACAATTTTTTGTAAAGGGCCTGAGCACTGTAAAGGTCGTGACCAAATGGCTTCTCCAGTACCACCCTGAGCCATGCGTCAGATGGGGGGCGGCAGGTCTTGTTGATCTTCTCTGCAATGTCTGCAAACGCGAAAGCTGGAACAGACAGGTAGAAGAGCCTCCCTGCTTCGACCATACCCTCCTGTCCTAGCTGCTGTTTGATCTGCTGGCTGAGCTTCTCGTAGTCCTCAGTAGTCTTCAGCTGGTGATATTTGGAAAGATGCAGGAACTGGTCTTTGACCAAAGTACAGCGCTCTGCAGAGAGCTCCGGAGGACAAGCCAGCTCCTTCAAGATCCCAAACAGCAGCGGTGTCCCCTTCTCGGTCGGTGAAAGGCCCCCACCGTAAAATGAGAAGGTGTGTCCTTTGCCTACCTGGTCAGCATAGAGCTGGAAAAAGCCTTGCCACAGGTACTTCCTGGCCAAGTCACCTGTTCCACCCACAACTACCACAGTCGCATGCCCAAGTCTCTTCTTAGCCTCATGATTATCTGTGTGGCCTCTCTGCCAGCATATGATGGCCATTAGCAGCAGCTCCCATTTTATCCTAAGCATTGTAATATCACACACCCACCCTTTAAAAAGAAATAAAAATAACAGGATTTTAGAATGTTTGTAAAAAAAATCTGTTGATGCAAATTCTGAAAAGATTTCACACATGTATAAAAAACAAAAGAAAACCAAACTATGAAAACTGAATGGTTAAGCATGAACTTAAAGGAATGTATTCAGAAGCTGGATTATAATGTTTGCTTCATTGGCTTATTGATGGCTATATATATATCATGTATTTATGATTATTAAATATTCAGTATACTATTTACTGTCTACATGTAATTCAGTCCAACGTATCATCATTACAACACTGCATAATCACTATGTGATATTTCAACACTAAAACCGTTCATATACAGTAATAATGACTCATGTCTGCAAGTCACTGTGTCTTTTAATGTACCAAAGTCCATATTTTTCTTTACTTTTCTTTCTTATTTTAAAATCACTCAGCACAATAAAATCCTGTTAATTTGAGCTCATTAGGTGTGTGGATCTTTATCGATAATAGTTTTATTGTGATACATAGGCTTATACGGTATGGTCTATGATAGGCCCAAGTCAAGAAGAGGGTGACATAATCCACTGACATACTATACCTGGACTGATTAGGAATGAGTAAAAGCAAGAACCACGGTAATGCAAATGAAATCTCTAGGTAAGTATTCACCCTAAGAATAAAGGTTAAGCCAACAGCCCCAGAACAAACAGACTACATTTACGGTAAAAGACCTGAATGAAATGAAAGGTCACACAACTTGGCCAAACAGAGAGAATCCAATATATAAGGTGACTATGTCAGAGTTGAGAATTGCTGGAATCATATCTTATAGAAAACTGTCAACCAGGATGATTCTGATTTCATGACAACTCATGATAAGCTTGTGTGAAGGCCAAAGATGACAAGAGTACACGCAACCCTAATGCTCAAGACAGAGCAAGCACTGTTTGCACATTTGGGTGTTGCAAATTGTTAAACATAGAGGCACTATGTAGACTTAAAATAAATACAAAAATTTCTTGAAACAATCAAGACTATAAAATGAGCATAACAGGATGCAGTGGAGTTAAATAAACAGCTGCTGCACAGAACTCATGTAATTCAGCACACACTCGGGTCATTCCTCCTATTCATATTATCTAGTGAACAATATAAACATTAATATGAACTTGTGTCAAAATAAGCTTTGATCAATTCAAGCACTTACATTATTACATTTGATTAATTATAACTGACAAGAAAATTAATTACGCCCCATCAAAATCATGTCCCTTAACCTCATTCAGGGCTATTTTATCCAGTAGCCTATATGATGGAGACCCCAAAATAATTTATTTAAAATGTGGGAATTATTAATATTGATCCAATTAAATGTGACCATATATCGGTTTCTGATCTGAAGTACATTTATTATATTTTAAAACATGAAAATACACTGTATTAGAGGGGGACGTGAGTATACTATCATCACGAAGTACATAAACAGATCCTGACAGCACCTATTATAGCTAACTGACACAGGCAGGCAAATAAAAAGCTAACATTATGAATTGTAACGTGCATATAACATCTGCAGGCAGAGTTACACATACACAAGGACACAGATGGGTTAGACAGAGAGACTGTGAGGACATACCTGATTCACCTCTGGACAGTATAGTGATGACAGCTCGAGCGGCGTGGTGACATACTATAAACAAGCGTTTCCAGTAGATGGTCACGTGATCGCGCCGCTGGTTAATCGTGTGGTTTCAGCACAAAACATTTAAGTTTTTTTTTTTTTTAATACGTTGACTGAGAACACGGGGACTCATAAACCTATGAAGTGCTTGATGAGCAATTAAAACACCTATTATTTAAGTGTAAATATCATAACAGAGGTACATACCGAGAGGGGATGTTTAAAAACGAGCGTGTGATGTGAAACAAACAATTAAATCAATAGCATTCTCTGACATTACCGGTTTAAATTCCGCGTTGAGAAGCCAGGTCGGTTGTCTGCACATTGGAAACGAATCCGCTTTGAGGGTTGGAAATGTTTTATTGTTATTGCTTAATTAATATTTTTTATTATTTATTAATTAATTATCCAGAATTTAGTATCGAAAATGTAAATCCACTACTGTTTGTGTTATTATGCAGATCGTGTGTTGTCCAAAGGAGGGCGATATTTGCCAATATGTGCTTAATAAATGACTCCAAACGAGGCTTTCAATAAACAGATTACCCCTTTCAAGTTACAATATTTATAAAAAAAAAAAAAAAATGTTATGCTGCAGGTAAATAGAATGCTACGGGTAAATTAAAAGACATATCAAACGTTTTTAAAAAAACACAAGCATCACAAACCTTTAGTTTGTGGTTAGAAGGTTAGGCCTTCTTACACTTGATTTCACAACATATTGAGCAATGAGTTTTCATAAGTGTGATCTTTAAAACAATATTCTTATCTTTGTGTACATGTGTGTGTATTCCTCTTTTGCACATTTCCTTTAGAGAAAGAAAGAGTCTTAGGCAAAGAGTATTCAAACAAGAACCATTCGCCTCAGGAAACATGAAAAGTCATCCAACCTGCTTTAAACCTACTATTAAAAGTGCAACAACAAACAGTCATCTATTATTCTGGAATGAATATTTGTGATCCATATAGGCTTACTGCTTGCAAAAAAAAAAAAAAAAGTATTTTGTCAGAATACGCCAACATTTGTGGATGCCCGTCAAAAGAGAAAGATGTTCTTTGACGACATCTACAACCAGAGGCTAATGAGGCTATGTTAACCAGTCAAACCTTGACCCCTTGATCCCTAGCAGCCTAACATAGCACTTGCTAATGGTGCCAGTTTGGGGTAGAGGTATTCAACCAATGGCAGATGGGGGAGTGTTTAGGAAAGCTGTTTGAAAACAGTCTATTGTTCGGAATGAATGCTAGCTTACTAAATACTGCACAGTGTGCAACATGTACTGCCTGTTTTATTATTATTATTATTATTTAATGTAAGTGAAGCAAGCTACACAAGCTTCTCTAATATTCTCTAATAGCAAATGCTTGAGTGTCGGGTTTGTGGCTTTTAAAAAAAAATATTTGAGTGTAAAACTGAATCACATATTATGCTCAAGCAATAAGTCAGAAAAGAGATCGCAGTTACTGTTACTTCCGGTTAAATTGTTATACAGGAAGTGGAAAGTAAAGTCATGCGCAGAGCAAAATCTGAAAATCTGCATGGTGTGCTTATTATACAAACTATAGTAGTCAACAATTAAATAATTTTATTAATTCACATTTGAAGTGGATCAATAAAGTTCATCAAAGTTGTCCTAAGACAAGAACGCGTTTTAGGTTTTAGGACAACTTTTGATGAAAGGTTTTGATCCACTTCAAATGTTTACTAGTGTATATATTGCAAAAATATTAAGAGTAGTGTGTTAGCATGATAGTCCGAACATATTGCAGTTCTATTTGGTGATGCTAGTAGCTCAAACATGATATAAATTTAGATTACACACACATTGGTCAAATCAAAAGCATTGTTTTGATGTTAGTGTTCTGTTGCAGGATCTGTTCCATTATATAATATCATCTCCTATGGCTATTATTGTTTGAATGCTTGTTAAAGTCACTCATCACTGTTTGAATCCAAAACATTTCCTATAGCTACATGTTTAGTGTGTCTGCAAATGTAGCTACATGTCAGAGAAATTAATCAAGGAATGAAAAACGTCTTAGCTTTTATTGGTCATATTTATATTTTAAATATTTTTATTGGTTTTTAGACAAAAAAATGACACTTCTGCTAACAAAAACTTATAACAAATATATGCATTCACATATAAACAAAAAGGCCTTCCTAGCACAGGACATTTCTGCTAATATTTATTCTTTTCTTAGGTATCGTCAACCATTATTACAGTTACCTTGAATTGAACTAAAACTGAGTAAACTACAACTAAATTGAAATAAAATAAACATTAACTAAGTAAAATATAGAAATCTGGAATAAAAAGTAATAGAAACTACACAGACCTATTAAAAATAATAAAAACAGGAAAAACACACCTGAATTACTAATAATTGAACTAAAATTAAAATGAAAATGGAAAATAAAATGCCATTTTTATTAAGCCATCTCCCTATATTATAGTCATATGTATAAATGTATATTCCTTTCTTTTCAATCTGAGATCATGAAGGGAAAAAATAAAAATACACATTTTTGGTTCAAGAGATAAAGACATTAATGATTTTATTATACTCTACTTCTTTCCAGAATTCCAAAATCGCTTCACACTCCCACACACAATGATATAGAGTACCATTACAAGTCTTACACTTTGGACAAGTGTCTGAAATATTATTAGCATTAAATATATGTAATAAGGTTGGAGTCACACAAACGTTTGTCAGCCATTTGTATAGTCTTTTCATGAAGATGGTTGTATTTCCATGCCATTCAGAACAGCGAGGAGCATTGCATT